AAATAACTAATATTACTAGTACGTACTTGTTCATAGCTACATTCCTACCTACCAAACGAAGGTGTTTAAAAAATAAACACAAACTTTTATCCAGCCACAACGACATGTCACGTAAAATTTAAAAATAGTCAATAATAACAACAAAAAAGTAACGCACTATCATTAACATAAACATTGAAAAATAAAAAAGCACGTTCAATGAGAAGGCTGACACTCAGTCTCATTGATAATTTTATTAATGTTTGCAGTATAATTTGATACAGCCATTCGAATACAATTATCCAAATGTTCATCTGTAAGTCGATTGCAAAATTTGTTCTTAATAAACTTCATATTAGAAAAAGAAGATTCACACACATAGGTTGAACTGAATAATGCTTTCACTTTCAAGGCAACATGGCATAGAACTGAATATTTGTCTTTACTTACAATAGGCCAGATACATTTGGTACTTGAGACTAACGATTTTAAGGCTAAATCATTTCGAAACTCAGTTACTTCCATTTCTGTTGCAGCGATGTCTTCGCCAAAGTTCTGCATAACACAAGTTGCAAACTGTTGGATATCAATTTCCATAAAGGGTGAAACAACAAACAGCGCTACTAAAGCCATTTCGTTGAAATCCTTAAAAAGATTTTTGAAGTTATTCTTCAGGGTAGAAACTATTTCTACATGATATTTGCTGTCATAAAGTTCTAATGGATTTTGAGATATTTTTTCTGAAAGAATAGGGAAATGCTTGGCATCGCTGTAAATTAGGTTTTGTAAAGCTCCAGCTTTTTGATAAATGCTTTTACATCAGAAATCATTTCCGCTAGTTCTTTGTCTCTCCCCTGAAGCTGTAAATTAAGTTCATTTAATTTCTCTGTAATGTCCACGAGGAAACCAAAATCTCTAAGTCAGATTGAATTTTCTAGTTCCGGAGTCGGTTCATCGCGTTGTTTGAAAAATTGAACTATGCCAGATAGGACATCATTAAAACGTTTCAGCACCCGTCCTCTACTTAACCATCGGACTTCAGAGTGAAGGAGTAGGTCCCCGTATTGACAGTTAACTTCATCGGCCAAGGTTTTGAATAATCTTCTTTGTAACGCTTGAGCTCTAATCTTGTTCACAATTTTTATAATTATATATTTATTTTTTTTATTAAAATAAATTTCAAGGATATTTCAATTAAATTTCCTTGTCCTAACAATATTTTATAATTATTAGGCCACTCTTGACGTTGTTTTACCTTCTCAGAACCCTTATTACCTCCAAAAATTCTTAAACCTCATTTCGTACCTCAATTACAAATGAGCCGCATTGATATGCATCGACGTGAAGATCCTCTTCAATACCGCCAAATAATTTATAATTATACAAAGATTGTAGGAATAGGAAACGGCGTAATGGCTTGTAAATCTTGAAAGAAGCTTTTTCGCTGATAGATAAATCCTAGTGACTTCAAGAAAACCATGACTCAATGAATCCTCCAAGAGTCCGTACTGGACTGGACTGGACTGGAACATACTGCAAGAAAAAATACTCAAGCTAGAGCTCTCCCCAGACTGCGAAACAGTGACCTAAGCAGACGATCTTACGCTCGTCGTGCGATCAGGCTCACAGGAGAGACTGATGGAGAAATAATATTTTTGTGTCCTTTCAGTGGAATAAACTTCAAAAGATCTTCTTTAATCGTAAAATCACTAAAAACCATCCTGACGAACACGGCCGTCTGGGCAGTGTCAACGACATCTGTTGATTCATCCAGTTGAAGTGAAAAATAAACACAATTATCTAAGTCAGTTCTTAACTGTAAAAAAATATCATTGTTCATTACTTCTACACGTCTCATCACTGTATTAGCAGAAAGTTGCATAGATTTTATAACTGAAACTATCTCGTCTTTATTTCTAAAGTTGGCAAATAACGAATCAGCAGCTTCTAAAAACGCCTGTTTTATCATTTCTCCGTCTTCATAAGGTTTCTTTTTTTTGTGCACTTATCTGGGACACACAGTACGATGCTTCAGTTGCAGCCTTATTTTTGTCGACTGTTCTTAAAAATATTGATTGTTGTCAAATTAACTGCTTTTTTAACTGTTTCAGTTTCTCCTTTCTGGCGGCAGAATGTAGTGGGAATGATTTTTCAAAATTAGAATGTACAGTTTTATGATGTCTCTCAATATTTCCTTTTTAGCAACATAACAAACACACATTTTTATCTTTAACTTCTGTAAAAAAGTATTGTTCTTCCTATTCCGAATGAAAGTGGTATGTCTTTACCTTCTTACAACTGCTTGCCATAATATTATTTTTTGTTGTTCTCTATTAACCCAACCGCTGGACGTTGGTTACGCGTTCAGTTTTAAACTAAGCGCAATGTCGCCGCGCCGTGCGTATTTATCCCGTTCAAAGCAATCCTGATCGTTCTTGAACACTAACGCGCTGGTCCGGCTGGTCGGTTCTAGCCGATTTTAGCTTGATGGCGTCAGCGGCAGATCGCTCACCGCAACGTTGCGCTGTTTATGTTTAATAATATAACAATTAGATTTTTTTGTGGAATTTTCGGAAGCTTCTCTGATTTTTGCAGTTTGTATTTTTTAAATTAAAATCGTTGTGAGAGCTACTGTCGTAGATGAACCTTGGAACTGCTGACTGTTATATTAGATAAGTTGTGTCATTCCACCTTAGGTGTAATGCCACCGGTTGTAGGGTATTTTCTTTCATTATAATTCAGTTTAGAATCTGTTCTTGATATGAAAAGTTGTAATTTATATTAAATAAATCTTTTTAAAAAACTAAATACCAAGTGTACTTAGTTAAGGTATATGTAGAATTGGAAAAATTGTAATTCCTTATGTTTTATCAAAGTAGATTGTTTGTTAAGTAAAACAAATTTTTTAAAAAAAGTTATATTTTCACACAAGCAATTGAATAATTTTCTAAGGTGAATATCTCTGTTGTTTTTGAGTATCTAATAAAAAACATTTTAAAATGTTTATTTTTACAAGATCTTAACTTAGAAAACACTTTGTACAGTCGAGATACAAAAATTTGTTCAGTTTCAAATTCCAACATTATTGGATTTCTCACAAAAGCATATATATTATGACAATTCAACTAATAATTTCCCCTTCTTGGCATTTAATCCTGGTATTTAATTATGTAGTAATGAATACAAAGCCAATAGTATAATATATCTCAACATTTAATCCTGATCGAAGGGTATCAAGTATCTACCTATTCGTTCCGATGTTGATATTCCATTATACTTCTCTAAAACCCTAAAATTAGAAGATTTAATAGTATTAATCTAAATGATAAAAGATCGTTACTTACTACATACAATTTTTAATATTATTCATATAATTTTCTTTTTTTATATTGTTTAAAATATACTAAAACTTGTATACTAGATTTGAAAAATATGTCGAAACACCTAATTTCTGATTTAAGTAGAAAAATATAATATTTAAAATATAGTGTGATATTAAATTACTGTTTTTTTTTAATTATTTATATTTTGTAGTAGTTTTGTTATTATTATACTTAAGCAGGTACCGAATTCTTCTTTTGTGATATGATATAAAAATGTGTACCTTGTAATACCCACAGTCTTAAGTTCTGGGTCTAAATATACCAAATTGCATTCTTTTTATTATTTAACTTGATGGAACCTTAAATACGAAATAGATACTTAAACGTTTCCAACGTTTAATTAAATGAACAAATTTGAAGCTAAAAATAAAATTTCCGCACCAACATGCGAAATTCTACGATATTGAAATCTAGCATTATAGTTATTTAAATGCAGTTCCCGCCTCTACACGAACGCAGTAGTTGTGTTATTACCCCTGAAAATGGGAGTGGAAATTTCGTCAGCTGTCTGTTTAATCGTAATTAGTAAAATTGAGGAAATGAGAATTCAAGTTTCTAGCTTATAATGATACGTTTCCACTCTTACCACTTCCTCTAAGACTTGTATAATAAATTAGAGATTAAATGAGATAAGACGTATTGACTGATAATGTTTGGCAAGAGGCGAAGCGAATAGATGATTTCAACGGAAGACATCTTGAAGTTGCAAGGTCATTGGAAGATCTTTGCGCCATCTATAAGTTTACATAACAACTAATAAAATACAAAAGAAAACTGTAAATTATTATTTTCGTAATCTGTCTAAAGTTACGGCGGCGTCAGCATAAACTTCTTTTTTTTCTTGCCTTCTTCTTCATTTCATTTTTCACTCTCACTATCGCCAAGATCTGGAATCTAGATCTACATGTCTTGCTGAGCGCGCGTTAGATCTCTATGGCTGATTTTTGTTAAATTAAACCTTTTTTAATTGGTGTCGGCTGCATTACCCAACAATGATAAATACATCTATTCACTTTGAAATTTAAAGTAGTAAACAAAAGGTGCACACCTACCTTTTAACTTTACTTTTCATAATTTTCTTTGTGTTTCTAATCTAGTATTTTGAAAATAAATGCAAAAAATAATTCAAAAACAAAACCAGATATTGTAACCTCAATTTGTTTTTACAAATTTTGACATGACTAAGAAAAAGAAGACTGGGACTGGGCACTAAGTAGATAGAGAAGGTGAAAAACTGAGCACATATAAATAATGAAGAAGACAAAGAAAAAAGAAAAAATGAATACGGATGCCGTAACCTTAAACGGATTGCCAAAATAATAATTTACAGTTTTCTTTTTTATTTTATTAGTTGTTATGTAAACTTATAGATGGCGCAGATCTTCTAATGACCTTGCAACTTCAAGATGTCTTCCGTTGAAATCATCTATTAGCATGGAAGAGATTTTGTAGAGTGAAGAGTATCTTTTATTATTTATATACATTTTTTAGCATCATTTATCCCACCAAAAAATATATATGTCGGGCTTGTAAAAGATTCCTTGAACAGGTTAAATTTTAGTTAGGTTGTATTTTGTGCTCATTACCGTTAGTAATTAAACCTCATTGTTAAAAATAAAAGAAAACAAAATAACTTACCGCTGTATTCTATGATTTCACGCCAGTCATCTTCAAGTTTGTACAGTGCATCTATCGATTCACATTGTCCCTGAGGATACTTCAATATATGAGGAATTCCTTGTTTCGAATATTTATCTAATTGGTCTATAAGGGCTTCGTATTTGGTATCCTGAAATTAAAACAATCAATGAATACCATAATTATGAATACGGTTGATGTACTACCCAATATATAAGTGAAAATATCCGCCGTATAAACGTATTTTATTTGTCACATGTAAACATCAATTACTACTAATTTTTTTCGGATCTAAACTGACTTTGGGGTGTATTCTTTATATTTAACGGCCTCTAAAAATATTGGCGGCCTTTAAAAGTATATTTATATTCGTTAATTTACTTCTGTCATTATTTAAACAGATTTCTTTAAGATAGTCCTCTAATGTATTTTAAAGACCCGTTTAAATAGTGACCGAATTAAAGAAGAAAATATTTTTAAAGGCCGTTAAATATAAAGGAATTTTTACAGAATAGACCCCTCTATCACTTCTCTTTCTTTTACTTATTGCAAACATTGTGCCCCTCTACAAGATGAATCTTAAATTAAAAAAATATTTGCGCATTTACGAATTAATTAATTAATAAATTGTCAGATGTGAAGAAAAAAAATGTCTACCCCTTTGTTTATTTCTCATTTCCTCTTTGTATGATTGGCAGTATCCAGCTTGCAAACATAGTAATAAAATACTCGTAGAAACTAACTATTTACCATTATTTGCTCGTTAAAGGAGCAGTAACCAATGATGAATAGTTATATATATTGCTCACCCATAAATAAACTATAATAAGAGACGAAAAGCGGGTCACAATGGGGGCGGCCAAATTGCCTTTCCAAGTTCTCACTGAACCGAATCGTTCTGGCCCAAATATGTTTTTAAATAATAAATGTACTTTAAGACACGAACTAATTTTAGGCATTCTGAAGACATATTTATTGTAATTTATAAATAAATTTGAATGGGCCATGTTCACATGTGAGATATGCTGTTTTATAAACTATATTGTAATAGTTAGTCGCTATACAAGTTATTCTAAATAATCAGTTCGTTAAAAAAGCTAAAAGTTTTTAAATTAAGCCCAATTTAAATTTAAAATTTGAAATTATACGTCATCGGGAATAGACCAATCAGCTTGTGTCGAAGTTTTTTTTGTTATACAAAACCAAGCCAACGAACAAACCTACATACAGAATGTCGAAGTGAACGCACATCTAAGTGACATTAAAAATTGACAGCACCTAACAACTAACCTTAGTTTTTTGTTTTGGTTTAATTTTATTATTAATCTGAATTTATCTGGGTAAATTATCCTGTGGGATATAGGATATATAAAGGAAGAAGAATATGAATTTATCAGCTGTATTTATAAAAGTTGAATCAAGTATTTTTCCCACGAAAATATGATTACCGAGATGATTACTGCATTTTTTAACAATACTTAGTTTACAAAAGATAGAAAGGTAAAACTTTATTTATAAATTGTTTTAATGGTAGGTAGTTACAGTTTATATGAAGCAATACACTTTATAGTAAAACATATTATCTCAGGTTTTATTTTTAGATCTGCCAAGCAAGAATATGGAGATATTTACTTTTTCCATAAGAGAGAAGGAGAAAAATTACACCTAAACATAAAGTACAGCAAAAACCTTATGATGTGGCTGTTGTATTTAACAAAAATGAAATTTTTAGTGCACAATGCTTAGGATATGTTGAATCTCAAGGTTTGTAATATTTATTATGCTTTTTTGTTTTTATATCACATATAATAAACAGTGCATAAGGCCCTTTATTCTTATAAATATTTTTTTTCTAATTTTGACATAAAGAGACATTTTTTGTAATCGCAGCAAGTGTTAAAATAATCTAGAAATAGATTTTGTTAGTGAACCTAGTAATAATTATGATACCAAAGAATGCTGCAGAGCACCTATGAAATTTTGAGTTAAAACATGCCATATTTTTAGGCTATTTTTATACCTTTTTCAAAAATTTTATGCTCCTCGTTTTATGCAAAACTTAAAATGCTCTGATAGTTTCGAACGAAGTCAGCAAAGCACCTCTGTTTTATAAAGTTTTTTCTGTAAAAACAGCAACACCATATATTTATGCACTTGAAATATTATATTTTTAAAAAATACATGGTGCTTGCTAACCTTCGAAAGAAGCCAGCAGAGCAATTCGGTTTTTTAAAGCTTTTTTCTAAAAACCACACCCCATTTTTAGACTCTTAAAATATTGTAAAAATTTACTAAAAAAATTGCTATTTTTAAATAATACAGGGTGCTTTGTTGGAACAAAGTCAACAGGACACTTCAGTTTTTTAATATATAAAAACAACTACTTATGACACATGTTTAGGCTGTTTTAAAATCCTAAAAATGTGGTAAGTATATTTGTTTTCAGAAAAAAAACTTTGAAGTCAGCAAGGAATTGCGAATTTTTTTAAAAATGTAAAATTTCGAATATTTTATAATATTGTAGGAGCCAAAAAATGTGGTGTGGTTTAAAAAAAAACTGGGGTGCTCTGCTGGATTCGTCTGAGGCTAACAAAGCATCCCGTAATTTTTTATTTTATAATACTCAATAGCCTAAAATGAGACATACTTTTAAAAATAGCAGTTTTTTTCGAAAAGCTCTATAATATTTCAAAAATGTGAAAATGTGGTGAGCTTGTTTTTTTTAAGTTTTGAAAATCAGAGGTTCTTTACTGGATTCGTTCAGAGCTAGTAAAGTGCTCGTCTTGTTACATAAAATAAGGCATTTTGTAGCTGGTTATATAGTTATTTTGTAACTGCATATCTAACCCTTTTATTTTTTTCAGGAGGTTGTAAACATGTGGCTTCATAGAAGAAGTGAGGAACCATCTGTAACATCTACTCAGTGTTATTGATAATGATGTACACTTGGCTAGATTGTTAAAGAAACCTCTTCATCCACTACAGGAAAATAAATCAGTACTTTTATATTCTTAGGATTTGTATATATTTTTTATTTGTAAATAAATTGTTTTTTTACTTCATTTTTCTCATTTTTTATTAAAAGGTTAATAAATAAAATTTTCACAGATTTTTATATTTTTGTTTGTAAACAATAATTGAAGTTTTTATTAAAAATCACCAATGTTAATAATAATAACTTAAGTCAATATTATTCTTTCTCCTTTTTTAAAGCTACTATTAATAAAGGTATTACTTTAGCTTGACCTATGATCAATTTTTAATTTTGTGATATATTTGGTTTGACAGAAAAAAAATTAAAACCCTTTGACATTGGTTGTTTTTACTTAGATTTTCATAAAAAATAAACGGAACTGCAAACATGTTTTACTATCGTAATAACGAATAGCAACATGAAATTTTTTTTTCACATTTATCACTGTTGTCATTTTCATAAGAAGGAAACACTTTCTGGTTTTTTGAAAAAGGTGGCAAGAATTGTGATATTTTTAAATTTATCACCAGTGATACCACATGTAGTTACCCGATTTATTGGAATATATAGACTTTGCTACCACATTCAACTGAACTTGGTATTTAATATTTATCACTGTGACATAGGCGTTTTTGTTAAAATGTTTCATTTTAAACTGCTGTAAAAAGGTGCCTTTGTTTTTGGTAGTTTTAGTCCCAAAAAAATCTATGCATATACAGGTACTCATTCCTCTTCGATTTGCTCGAAAAGTTAAATTTTTATCAAAAATTACATTGGCTGTTTAAAAACTCATTATAATCCCTGAAATGTGATAATTAGGTAAATTAAATTAAAAAACAAACAAAAAAGTTTATTAAATTAATATTTACTCTTACAAAATAGGTTCTTCTAAGTTAACAAGCAATTATGCAGATATTACTAAGTAAATGTACTTTCTTAAAATTCACACACGAATGTGGTTTTAACATGTTAAATTAACTAACCCTTCTTATAACTCTTTCCACATGTATTCTTAGAGATGCTATTCTTTTACTTAATTGTACATCTTCTGGAGAAGTTTTTTCATTCTGTGATACACTAGGTGTGGCTTTACTAAAGTGTATCCCATGTTTTCAAGTAGCTGATTATTCTGAAACCCGTATCTGCCATTATATGGGATCCAGGAACCAGTTTGTTTAAATACCCACATTTTTCCATTATTTCTTTATCACTAGTTCTTCCACAAAATGATGAATAAATTCGGTATCTTCAAAACTTTCAGGAGATTCTGCATTTTCTTCCAGAAGGGTTTTTAGGTTATACACCTAAGAATTTATAGTAGCCTCATTTTCAATTTACTGAAGGGGACAATTAGCAGAAATTGCTGCTACATCTTGATAATCCGGTGTATTTTTATTAAAAAGTTCACGAGAAACATCGCTAGTAGAAGGTTGATTTTCTTCTTTCCAAATTTCTAGGAACACTAATAAATATTTTTGAAGATGAATGTGAATCATTATCACATTCTGGAACAAAACACTTTTTCGTAGTCATAATATTTATAAAAAGTACAAAATTAAACAATCAAATTCCAAATAAATTCTTGATGGAGACACTATGATGACAGATGCCATACACAGTGCTGCCATTTTGCCATTTTCTGAATTATTAAGTGACTTTTAAAACAATGAAACTTTAAATATGGTAAAAGTTTAAACAGAAATAATACTTTCAAAAAACATTTGATATTATATATTTAAAAGATATTTGTTTAACGATGTTTTAGAAGTCTAAAAGTAAGAAGGAGTACACAAACGAACGTACATCACTTCTCGTAAACCTTCTAGCCGGCAACGTTGTGCGCTAGCTCCTATTGGTCTATTCCCGGTGACGTCATAAATTTTAAAAAAATTCATAACTCCGGCAAATGAATAGATAAAAAAAAAAAATTAAAAAACTGTAATTTTATTTTCAACTCTATTATTCATAAAAAAAATTTCAAAATTTTTGAACATGCCCCATTGTTGTCAGTAAGACAATACAACTTTAAATAAAAAACCTTAATTGTAGACGCTGTTCTTGAACTCACTAAAAAAATCTATGCGGCTCTATCGAAAATAGCAGACCATACTTCTGTAAATTTATTGAATTAAGCAGAGCTTTCGAGACTGTCAGTCACACATTATTACTCCAAACCT